GAAAATGCTCTTGCAAAGCTTGAAAGATTTTGGATGCACCATGTGTTACCAGTCATGACAAACAGGCTGAGCAATGCACATAAAGGTAGGAAACTAATTAAAATTGTGTGTCTGTAATCTGTATATACTTATAAACCCTTTAACCCATTAAGCGCCAGCACTCTCCCCTTGATGAGTAAAATCATCTGGTGTTAGACAGAGTAAAAATAGTCTGATATTAGACAGAGTAAAATAATAAGGTAGAGCGCATCAGGGTGCAATGTGACTCAATGGGTTGACAAGGTTAAATTTGGGGGGGGGGCATATAAACTAACTGCCCTTAAGGTGATGTTACCACGAGCAACAAGATTGCTGGTTGATTATTGTCTTGGGTGTTGCTAATATTTCTAATCAACATGCCCTGATGTTGCAAGTTGCAGCAATTTTGTTGTTCGTCTGGAACATGTTTGGATATACAAGTTTTCATTGTAAACTATGTCTTTTTGTAGGGAATAAAGATATTGAACCAGATGTTGTTAAACCTCCTGTTAGTGAGCTGTCACCCTGTGCTCCATTTGTTTCAACACCCAAGTTACCAACAAGTACAGGTACACCAATAGTGATACCCAGTGATGGTGAACTGATGGGCAGTGATGGAATTCCATCAATTAAGCTGAATGGAATCACCATATACCAATCATGTGTCGATGGCCTCCTACCTCAAAAATGATTAATGACAACATTGTTTCTATTTTAATGGAGTAAGTAACTTAGCATGTAACAAATCACCTAATGTCTGCTGACCAATATATTTGCCCCATGACTTGAAGTTCAAGACAAAATAAACTCACCGGTATTAATTGGTAATTTTATCAGACATTGAAAATTTATTTACAATGTTGTCATACAAATTTTCTTTAGGGAATTGTGTTGCCAGTTTCCCATTGTAAGCACATATGTTTACACAGTCCTTTGTGGGTAGCAAGAAGGTGAAAAGCAAAGAACAAGGTACATTATCAGTGTAATAGTTTAAGTTGATAGATTATTGCTCAACCAAAATATCAGTTGTACTTTATATATTATGGTTACATTATGTAGTATTGCATATAATATATTGTGAATCAATCTTTTCTTAGAAATGAAAGAAATGAAAGAGCAGAAATGTTCATCAAACCAGATATGCTTGACCAAGACTACCTGTTCATTCCAATAAACAGAAAGTAAAAGCTACATTTGATTGCACAATCTTCATTTCTTATAGATTTAAGATTAATTCCTATTTATTTTCTTTATTGGATTTTATTTCATTTATAGTCATCACTGGTTGTTGGCTGCTATAACCCCATGGCACATTTTAATAATGGATTCACTGACATGGGATATAAACATCAGGGGACATGAAATAACCACCATTGTTAGGTACTGAATTAATTTCTGAACTAATTGTTTTTCATACCATTTTTCTTATTCATTATGTTTGTCTTATTAGTTTCCTGCAACATCTGAATGTCAAGTTTCATCTTCCACAAAAGCGTCAGATGATTTCACATAAAATATTGAAGGTACTTGATCATTGTCATAACACAAGCATCAAAATATTGAAACATGTCAAGTAAGCACTCATTAAGTCAGCCCATTGTTTTGGCAATGTATTAACAATGGTCTGATTTAGTGAGTGCTGACACTTGTAAGTTGTATGGTAATATGCTATTTATTAATTTGGTATAAATTTTATGTTATATTCTATTTGCAGGTACCACAGCAACCATTTTATAGCAATAACTGCGGATTCTACATATACTTTTTTCTGCAACATTTTCTGCAGGTACAGTATGATTTACTAAGGAGGGGCACTCAAAAGTGTCTTTTGTAACTGTTTAAATTTTCATTAGGACTTAGAAAATTATGAATCAAGCCCTGATGGTTACTGTGAAATTGTGCATGACTGGTTCACCCCTAATGAAGCTGAACAAAAGAGAACATCTTTGAGGCGTCATTTGCAAATACTGATGTCGATGGAAAAGTACAACATTAAGAATTGTAACTTAATGAATTTTAATTAAATTATATTAATTGGGTCTATTTCTATATAAAATATTACCATAGTAACTTTTTTATATATATTCTATATCATCATCATCATCATTATTATACTCTATGATGCTTGGTTGCAAGTTTACAAGAGCTGCACAAACTTTAGCTATAGAAGTAACATATGGTTTCACAGTAAGCGGGATTACACCTCTCAGTATACTAAAGCATTTTAATTTTCTAATTGCTCTTTCAACATGGATGCGGACTTTGGCAATTCGTCTTGTGATGGTCGAAGCTTTCGATGACACTGTACCTTTTCTCATAATGGGTGGAGCAATTAATCTCGTCTCCCGTAAAGCTAGTAGATCCTGGATGTTAAATCCCTTATCAGCCATTATCGCATCACCAGGCTGCAGCTTATCTAAAAATCCACTTTGCCTTATAATCTCCTTATCACTTATGCTACCACTAAACAAATTTGAAACAAAATTAAAGTGAGCAATAGGAGAAATGGACACAAGTAGTTTAAAGGTATTCCGTGATTTGTATGTGCTGTATGTAGATCTTTGGCTTGGCAAACGGTTAGGTGTTTCAATATAAAACTTGGTGCAGTCAATAATTCCTCGTAAGTCAGGAATGCCTCTAAATGCTTTCGGATACTGTATACCATCCAATTCAGATAGAGTTGGGAAATGCAGCAGGAATGACAGTTCCTTTTCTAAGAACAATATCCATGTAATTATAATTCTGCTCGTAGAACCAGTTGAAATTCCAAATAAATCTGCCAGTGTTTCAATGGTGATCTTTCGGCGTAATCTTACCAGCGTAATAATAAACTGTTCCCAGGTGGATAATTTGGAAAATTTTTTCTTTTGCTAAAAATAAAAATAAATTATGACTTCATACATGTACTAATTACAATAGGACTTAAAGGCACCTTGTCACCATTGAAAACTTTGCTCACCTCAATATATACTTTTCCAATATATTTTTCCTTTGTTTTCTTTTTACCTTTCCACATGTGAAGTCTAGAAGCCTTCTCCTGAACCAAATTATGTATGGCACGTAGAACACTTAAATCCAAACCTAAAAAAGAAAATGATTTAATTCCATAAATAACCAGGCAATATTAACCCTTGATACCTCCCCCAGCCCTGGCCGAGGGAGTGCTATTTTTCATGATAAAGCAAAAAAATATTAGAGACAAAATGAGTTACAGTAATTTGAATAATAACATGCTGATAAACGAACTGTCAGCAATAATTACAATTCAAATACAGTAGTCAAGCAACTAGTAATATATATTGATGGGTGGGCGGCGCACATGACCAACACAACTCACCATGCAGAGCTCCGAGGCGGGGGAATTTGGTGGCATTAGACCATAGTCACACAACATACCTGTGTAGTGCACTGTCTTCTTGGGATTTTCAACATTTTCCAAAAATAATGCCCTTGACATTTCTTTCTTGTTGAGTAACACACTATCAGGATACATGTTGAAATCTTCCATTGAAACAGTTGTCTTTATTAATAAAACATCAAGATAAAAACTTAAATATGATACTTTATTTATTAAATATAGTCCTAAAATGATTTATTAAAAGCCTTTTTAACTATAGCTTACTTGGGAATCACAGGTTGCTGTTGATGCTTCTTTTATGCCCTGCAGTTGATCTTCTTCCATAATTTCTGTGGCTGTATTCTCGGACTCTGTATTTATAGTAGGATGTGTAACTGCATCTTTGCTTAAATTTATTAAAGTTTCTGCCACATTTAGCTCATATGTACTTTTCCCAACAGCAGGCATAGCTGGCGAAAGAGAAAACAGTGATTCCGCTGCTGATTTGTTGTGAGCTGTTCTAAATCGTTTACCACATGCTTTTCTAGTCGAAGGAGGCTTCCTCTTTCTGCTCAATCGCTTGATCTATTTATAACAAAAACAATATTGGTGTCAATATTGTTCAATATGTTGATGAAACGCATATCATTCAAATGTATACATTTGCATAAAAATTTAACTTCTTATCCATAGACCATATGCTTAGCGTATCTCTACTAGCTGTCGCTGAAATGGGGTCGGGATATTCTTCCGTGGGGCCTTTCTTGTCAATGAAATGAAGACTACAAACATAACTGTCCTTTGTACAAATGAAGCCATCTTTCCTGCAGCACGCACGTATCCACGTTTTTCTTCGTTCCTTGTCCCTTATCTCCGTCGGAAAATGATGAAATGTAACTGTTGTTCCTTCTACTTCATTTACTAGAATCACTGTTACAAGTTCCCCATGCACATCGTTTTACCATGTTTATAAATACTTTGACTTTGTCGTTTTAATATTATTAAGCACAGTGTCAGAGTCGCTCGATAAATGAAAAATATATCTTTTAAAAGGCTTTACTAAGATCGCTCACGGACATCTTTGAGCCTGAACTACTGTACGACATGTCTGCAGCTAAATTCGACCTTTTAAACTTTATCCCATCGCTTTTCCAACTTTTAATATCATTTAAATAACGCGATAAGTCACTCTCGCTATACTAAATTGTATTCTTGTTCGAATTTGTTTGTCCGATTTCCGGTTATTTGACGCACATGGAATGACACATGTTGTAGAGAGCCAGAAAGGTGGATTGCACCCAAATGTTTGAATTGTGACAAATTCTAAAACAGGCCTTAATAGCCCCATTGACGAAATGCTCAATAGTATGTCTTGTTGTATATGGAAAAGTATATTTATTTCATCTGTTCTGCCTTCCCACAAGGCCTATATATATAGGCCTTGATGACAAACTGATCAGCACAGTTACAAAGATCAGATAAAAAGCTCTGGCTTGATATCATATAATCTAATAGCAGTTCACTGCTATTAATTCGATGTTTGGACCTTGTTCTTTGATTGTATGTTTTTTGTTTTCTAAAAAATAATTTGTTTTCCCAGTATTTTAAATGATTTTGTGGAGTAGGCAGCATGGCTTCCACTTTTGGTGTGAGGAAAAGATATTGCAACAGATTTCCAATTGCAAAATGTTATGGCCCTTCAGAAAGAGAAATGGGACAATATTTTAAAGGACACCAAGGTTATTAAGGATAGAGAATTAACTAAGAAAGGCATTTTTGCCGTCATTCCCATTGCAACAGATATTACTAATGCCTTCTTGAGAGAAAGGGTTGTCTCGAATAGCAATATCTTCTGGATATTTTCCATTTTCAACCCATGTACAAATCTATCTTGCAAGGTATCGTTTAAGTTATCAAGACAGTCTTAGAGATAATTTTCTTATTTCTGCAAAAAATGTACTTACATTTTTGTGTTCATGTTGATGGTGGTGATGAAATCCAGATCATTCTGCAATTATTGATGGCCTTGGTGACAATTGTTTGTCCAGTAACACGACCAGTTCTTTTAATGACATAGCCAGTCAGTTTCTCTTGCAGAATGATCTGTAACATGCCCAAAAATCTTACTCAGTATTATCTTTTTCTGTTGATTTTTCAAACTTAAAGGATCTTGAATTTTTCTTTTGATAAAAGGAGCTTTACATTTCGAGGATAACAACTTCTGTAAGTTTAAAATATTGATCAGTTTATTTTTTATTCTTTATGCAATGTGATTTACCTTATTAGAAACTAACTACTGCCAACTGTAGTACAAATTGTATATAACTGTGGTACAAATTGTATTGCCCAATTTTTTTAAAGTTGTACCCCGTCGTGAAGAAAAGGTGTCACAGATTGTTGCCTAAAACCCCAATGTAGCCATGAAAACACCTTATGTTCCAATACCACTGTAAGGTAGTTATTCAGAATAAGGCATGTTTTGTCGAAATGCCAGGCTTTCTTGCCATCCTACCTTTCCTTCAACTTTCCTACTTTTCCTATTTGTTATAAAAAATTGCTTGATTTTCCTACTTTTTCTCATAAAATCCTACTTTTTTAAGACACCTGTGGGGGAATCAGTATATTATAGCTCTTGTAATTAGATCTATAGGACTCGTAATTTTTTCCCTATTTGTGTTCCAGATGATAAGACGTCAGGAAGAGAAGTAAATTTTCCAAGTATAAAATTCCATAGCATCTCCTAGAATCATAATAAATAAATTAATGAAGACTCTGAAAATGCCATTTCCAATGATCTACAGATTCCAAATTGCGAAGTTTTGTTCCAAATTGCGGTTTGGTTAGGTAAAGTGTGGAAAATATAGCTCTGCGAAATTTGCAAATTTTGTATTAGTTTGCATTGTATTAGCATGGGAAAATGCATCACAATGGGGCCGAAAGTGGTGCATTTTCCCTTGTGTAATACAAATTAATACAAAATTAGCAAATTTCGTAGGGCTATATTTTCCTCATTTTACAAAATTTCATGGCCAAACTTTGCAATTTTACTCATTTTAGCATGCTGTTTCTAGCCGTCATGATGAATTTTGTTTTTCTTGCCTATATCAAAATTTAGTGTATAAGAATCACCCATTGTGTTGCTGCAGAGCAGATGCCTTAGCTTTTTTATCGATGCAACATTCATTGTCTATATTAATATCTAATTTTAAAAGTTTTGAGAAAAAAATCCTGCATATACATGAATGAGTACAAAAAATATTAAGCATCAATGGTCCACCCCTTACCACATATATCCTAGGGGGCCAATTAATTTGTATATTTTTGTGTTATTTGCATCTCCAAAAACTCCTACTTTTGTCCTACTTTTCTACATGTTTTCCTACTTTATTCCTACTTTTCCTAAAATTCTAGCCCTACTTTTATTCTACTTTTCTACACAAGGGTGCCAGAAAGCCTGAAATGACACCAACACAGAGTAACTATAGGCAAACACATACCACCTTAGCCTTATATCTGTCACGCAACAGAATGACTAGCTCCTCTATCTGTGAGCCTACCAACAAGGATAAATCGTTAATGCCAATTTCTAGCACCACAATATCTGGAGAAAGGGCATGGAACTACAGCTAGGTCATGATGTGCGACCACCAATACCGTGTAAATATACTCGAGCGGTCCCTTCATTTTTAAATGTTCGGGACATGCGTAAGTCAGACCGATATTGTAAGTCAGACTTAAGTCAACGTACAAATGGATGACCTAGAACTAAAACTTTTGGGAGTACCATCAGTGATTATTATCAAAAGAAAAATTGATAGCTATATATAAGTAAGAAAATATATAGTTAATCTCATCTGATTTTGAGAATAGAAATTTCAATTTAATGTTGATCTGTTCACCAGCACAGTTGTAGTCGAATGACAATTGCTTTGCGTAGCTGTTAATTTTATTATGATACCAACCCCTTGCAAGCTTTTCATGTTCTATTTTAAGTACGGCGCCAAGCTAATAATATTAAGAGTTTTAATCTTAATACGGCTTAACACCTACTTTGCTGTGTCTAGTTCTTGCTTATATACAAGCACTTTAGATAAGGTGATTTCACTTTCATAAGTGACATTACATAAATTCCTTATTTTTTTCGCAAATATTTTGTTTTAGATATTGAAGATAC